AACAATTTAGTTAAAAAATAATAATAATTTATTTTGAAAAAAAAACTCAAAAGAAATCAAATGTATACATCTATTAATTTTTTTGAACTATTTTATTCTTTTTAAATAATAAAAAATAATTTTCAAAATTAATTAAATGTTAAAAATCAAATACATTATTTTTTTTTTATTTTATTGGCCGAAGTTACCATTCAATATATAACCTCTGCAAACTACTCGGTACAATTAGTTATGAGTTAGTTACTATTCCTAAAGAAACCACTCATCTTTTAGAGTACTTTGATAACTTTGATACCTTTCTTCAACTCTCGCGGATATTTTTGAAATATCAAAGCTTCACCCTCTGACCTTATGTTTTATCTTTTGAGAAATTCAACTTTAATTTAGTTTTTAAAAATGTTGAATAAATTTATTTGATTATAATTTTCAAACTGAATTCCTGTATTTTAAAAATTGTTATAAATATTCATTTCAAAAAGAATTTATCAGATTGCCTTTATCTTTCTCCATGGTAAATGAAGAAAGGCTTTGCTTTCTTTATATAAATTTATTTATTATATAAGCAAAATCTGATAAAGAACGATTTTGCTATCTTCTTGACGAATGAACATGGAGTTTTAAAATAGTATTCGTGTCTCCATTAAATTTATCCATCGTGTATTCGAAAGATGTCATAAGATAGTTTTACCATTTATTTATTTATGTAATTTATCTTTAAACACGATAAATGGAAAACCAATTATTGATACAAAATAGAAAATAGAAATTACCAACTGTGTTGTACGAAAGAATGACTCCTCTACAATTGCTATCACAATGGCCACACACAAAGAAGAGGTTTACCTTGCGAATCCAATCAACAAATATAACAAAGTCAATAAAACAAAAACACCTAGTAGAAAAACATGAAAAAGAGAGGCAAAGATTGTATCAAGGATAAAAAAAAAATAGGGTGTGAGAGAGATGGAAAATGCAAGATGTGGGAATATGGCAAAGTCAATAAAACAAAAATACATAATAGAAAAAAGTGAAAATGAGAGACAAAGATTTTACCAGAGATAAAAAGAATAGGGTGTGATACATATGAAAAGTGAGAGATGCAGGAGAAATGAATAGAATAGAAATTATAATAAGAAGTGAAGTGGCGGTTTGACGGTTTATAAATTTTGAATGAAGTAGTTACAAATTTAAGAGGTGATTTGTTATCTATTAAAGAGTAAAAGAGACTAAAGGAAACCAAAACTTTTTTTATCCCCTTTATATAATGTTATAGATTATACAAAATAATATTCTCTTATAATAATAAAAATAATTTTGACCAAATACCATATTACAATAATAATAAAAATATTTGATAAATGGGTGTTACATGTTTAAAAAAAATCTTATATTATATACTAGAGGAAAAATATGTTTATTGAAAAATAAAAAATTACAAAACTAAAAAATGAATTGAAGTTAGATAATAGTATAATTTATTTTTGTAAATTGAGTAGTTTAAAGTAATTAATGAAATAATGGACTTAAAAAATGAAAGGAAAAAAAAAGTAACACAAACCACTAATCCTTTTATACATGGTAAGTATAGGTATATTTATAAAGTCAATAGAATAATATCATTTTATATGAAGAAGAGAATGTTCAATCTTAATTCTTGAAATAAATTAAATAGTTTAAATTAAAAGATGGGACATAAAACTATAATATGATAATAATAACGGTAATGATGATAATATTATGATAGTAATAACAATGTTTGTAATGACAATAATAAAAGCAATAATATTAAAGATAACTTATTGCCAACTATATTGATAGCTTTAAAGTGATATAATTTCTAACCATTGGTTAGTCCTTATAAAGTTAAACTGATGCCTCCAATTATGATTTGTGATTAAAAATTGTGATTTTATTTATAATTTTTTTTTAATTTAAATTGTTTATTTTAATTTAACTATTGAGATTGAACTCGTTCTTATATGAAAATAATAACTTTACTTTATTTTTCTCTATATATAAAAATAATAAATAAGAATTAAAAATTTGTTATTATATTTTTATCTGATCTCAAACACAATAATTTATTCAATCCTTTCAACTAATTATGTTAAATATTTTTAAAATTAACATTTTTTACACTTATTTGTTTTACGTGATTAATTAATGTTTGGAAAAAGAAAGTACGGGAGTGAAACATATAAAAAATATATATTTCTAATTTAATAAGAGAGAAAATTATTATCTCATTATTTTCTAGTATGCATTATTTTTTCCTAAAAAGGTTGTTAATTAATTAAAAATTTATTTTTAGATAAAATTCAATTAATGAAAGAGATAACTAGAAAAAAGTATTATATAAAAAAAAGAGACAAATAGTAAATAAAAAATATTATATACAGATATAGGTGTAATATATAATAAATTTATTGACATTTTATAAAAGTGACACTAAAAGCATGTTTGAGATTTACTTTTTACAATTTAGTTATATTTTTATAATAAAAAAGATGTTTGCAAAATAAGTCGTGTGATTTGAATAACAGTTGAAGTTTATAAAATAAAAAATAAGTTACGTTGATGCATATAAAGTTTAGAACTTATCTAACAAAAGAAAAACTGAATAAAAATCAACTTATACTGATTTTGTAACAATATTTTTCTGTTAAAGACATTATTTCTAAATTAGGAGGGATTCGTGTATTTTAAGAATAAATTTATTTAAACTTACTTCATTCAATAATTCGTGTTTCATATCAAAATTTAACGATCATTAAATTCAAAATTCTTAATGCATAGATCAAGTTCGTAAAATTAAAAAAAAAAATTAAATATCATTTAATACTTCATTTCATTAATTCAAATCAATGTATAAAATATTTTTATGATTATCCATCAAATTGAATTAATAAAATGAAGTATCAAATAAATTTTAAATTTTTTTAAAAATTTGAAAACTTGATTTATACATTAAGAAATTTAAATTCAACAGTTGGATCCTTAAAATTTAATGTAGAACTTGAGTTATTGAATGAAGTAAGTTTATCTATACTTACTTCTACAATAAACGAATCCCTACTCTTCCCAAGTTACTCCTAAATTTGCCAACAACTTTTTCCCCCTTTCATCTTCATACATAATTATATATATATTCCTAACAATAAAAGGCTATAGGGCCATTAATATGTGTTCCTCACAATAGGTGGTTCTATAGTTCTAAAACAGGTTTCTAGAGCCAATAACCCTTTTTGAGAGTATCAATCACCACAATAGGTAAACTATTGGAAGTGATAATACCCTTGAAAGGATTAAACTCTAGGTGAGGCCTTCATGATAACCAAACAAGATGTACATCTAGAAGGTTACCACTACTCGACCTCTTACTTATCCTAGGTTGCACTCAAGTCCGGGCATAGGACCTCGCTCATAAACGTGTGTGAAAGTAAAGTGTGTGAAGGGAGTAATCTTAAACTACCCAATCTGCGAAACAACAAACATGATATAACAAAATCTTCGACCCTAAAGTTCAAATACCCAACGCAAATAGATACAAATAAGACAAATAATGAATAAGGAAAATATTTATTAAAAATAAAGGTGAGGTAAACATTTTAAAATTTATTATTAATTTGCTTAATTAATTATTATAGGAATGACTCTCAAAATTTCCCTAGTGGAGTCGCCATCTGTCGCAACCGAGATCGCGACGGGACGGCGAAAAATAGATTAAAAAATAGGGAGTCGCCACCAATATTATTTTTTACGGAAAAAACATTGGAAAAAAACATAAAATAGAAAATAGTCTACGAAAACCAAATTTTTGAGTTCGGGAGTCAATTACGTGTGAGGAAGGTATTAGCACCTCACAACGTTCGTCCTAAGACGATTACCTTTAATTAATTAAGCAAATTTATTATAACTTTTTAAAATATTTATCTCACCTTACATTAATATGAATCAACAATAATAATCAAATATATAGTTTAACAAATGTTTTTATTTTAATGAGTACTAAAATTATTTATATTATTATTAAAAAATGAGATAATATTGTTATTTTTATTTTTTTGGCTCGACAGGAGTGATTTCCTGCTCCTACGTATCTCCATGTATAATGAAGAATCAGAGTCACGTAGTTCTTTGGTAGAAAATATTTGTGTATTGATATTTTTTAATTAAATTTTATTTATTATTTTTCTTTTAAAAAGGTTAGGATTTTTGAACTAACACAGCTCATACATCCCAAAATATAAAAATTGACAGAGGTGTACACCTAAGCCAGATATTTAATTATTATTTTTTTATTAAAAAAAATATCATTTGTTATCAATAATATTGTTATTATTGTGGTACATATTAAAAAGATTTTGGTTAGATATTTTTTTTATTATTTTAGAAAAAAACTTAAAGATATCAAGTTGTCACAACTTGTATCTTAAACTCATAGATTAAAAAGATGTCTCATCTAATTATCTATTTTGCTACTAAAATATTTAAATAATGACTTTCAATATTTTTAATTATAATATTCTAATTATTAATTATATGTTAAATTTAGATAAAATTTTTAAGATAACAAGTTGTTACAACTTGCATCTATTAGGCCTAAGATTAAGAGAATGTACATTCAAATAATCCTTTCTTTGAAAGATATATATATTCAATATTCATAAAAGATATTATTCTCAATATTTTGTAGAATAGTTACTAATTTTTATCATTCTCATTATTATTATTATTATGTGAAAATCCAACATATAATAACTTTAAACAATCAAATAAATCAATTGCCTTAATTTTTGTATATAATTATTAGCCTCAATTACAACATATTATACTCCTAAAATCTTATTTTGTTCAGAAAAATAAATAAAATGGGCTAGGCCCATACGTGAGTTGAAAGCACTTAGAACAAAACAAAAAAAATCTGGCCATCTAAAGAATAACACATCAAATGGGCTTGGCTTACATAATTAAAAAAAATAAAAAGGAAGAAAAAGAATAACCCTAAATTCGTGAAACAGCAGAAACAGAAATTGGGGAAAACCAGCAGAAACCCTTACGTTAGGGTTATGAGAGAAGCTCTCCAATTTCTCTCCGCAGACTATGCGCTGGTGCTAACCGGAAGAAGATCAACGCACGATACCACCGCGGTTGGCCTAACAAGTGAAGCGGAAAGGGAGAATAGCAGTGAAAGAAAGTAACTCGAAGAGGGTTACCGTTGGAAATCATTTTTGAAGGTGACCCACGGTGATTCTTGTGGGGATTTGTTTGGGGAAGGAAGAAGAAGCAAACACCGTCGTCGAAAATAATTTCCGATGGCGGTGGCTCACAGTGGTCCTTGCGTTTTGGCCATAGACTCACAGGGCACGAAAAAGAGGTGACAGAGTGAGCGAGAGGGAAAAGAAAAAAAGAAAAAAAATGGAAGAACACATTATGGTTGTTGGAAATCAGCACGAACAGCAAATCGTTGAGGTTAGTATTTTTCTTTTTATTCGTCTTTACTCGCAAATAAAAAAACAACGAGGCGCACACCAGTATTACTATATGTACAGGAGAGAAAAAAAATAGTGGGTGAAGATGATACCACAATTTTGAGGATCCTGCTTGTGCTCCTTGTTTGAGTTTTTTCTTTCCGATTATATTCCAACTAACGTAGTTTCTCTGTTCTGTTTCTGTTAATTTTTTCATTCCTTTTGTTCATCTTGTGTTATGGTATTTATAGGCACACAATTTTTTAATTTGATTAATCTTTCTCTGCCAAAATCCCTAAATTTAGGGATATGGCTTGTGAATCTGGTTAAGAGACGATTTTGGAGATTTTTGCAGGGCATGGTGATTTATTTGCAGTGGTAAGGTAGCTCTGTGAGAATTGTAGTAGAGTAGTTGAGGGGAGCAGTTGCTGGGGTTCACGGAGGATAATGGAAGATACGAGCAACATGTTTTTTCTTCTTATTTTTCTATTTTGTTTTGTTGTTTATTTTTTTGTTTTTTTTTTGTTTTTTGCTTTTAATCTGTATTATATTTTGTAATATTATGGACTGGACTTTTTTGATTTATACAGGAAGACAAAATTTGGAGTTAACAGATCCCCCTCTTTACTTAAATTTTACTAACGAATATGAAAACAATGATTTTCATTTTTTGTAGTAAAATTTAAGTAAAGACTTAATTCCAATTTTGTCTGTGGCATGAAACTTAAAGACTTTGAATTAAGTTAAAAGAAAAGATAATCATGGAGATTGAAAACATAAATGGGAAGATACGAGAATCTAAAAACTTTAAAGCAATGGATTAAAAGGTCTAAGTTAAATAAATAAAATTGAATTAAAAGTAGTGGACTCGATGGGTAAAATATTAAGAGCTAAGAGCATAGAGACTCAAAATATGAAAACAGTGGACTCGGGGATCCAAAATATTGAAAGCTATGAGCGCGGGGACTCAAAATAGTGGACTCGGGGATCCAAAATAGCGAAATTTATGAGCGCGGGGACTCAAAATATGAAAACAATGGACTCGGGGATCCAAAATATTGAAAGCTATGAGCGCGGGGACTCAAAATATAAAAATAGTGGACTCGGGGATCCAAAATAGTGAAAGTTATGAGCATGGGGACTCAAAATATAAAAATAGTAGACTCGGAGATCCAAAATATTGAAAGCTATGAGCGCGGGGACTCAAAATATAAAAATAGTGGACTCGGGGATCCAAAATATTGAAAGCTATGAGTGCGGGGACTCAAAATATAAAAACAGTGGACTCGAGGATCCAAAATATTGAAAGCTATGAGCACGGGGACTCAAAATATAAAAACAGTGGACTCGGGGATCCAAAATATTGAAAGCTATGAGCGCGGGGACTCAAAATATAAAAATAGTGGACTCGGGGATCCAAAATATTGAAAGCTATGAGCGCGGGGACTCAAAATATAAAAATAGTGGACTCGGGGATCCAAAATATTGAAAGCTATGAGCGCGGGGACTCAAAATATAAAAATAGTGGATCAATAAACCTAAACAAGGATTGCACAGGTTTTAAACTTGGGCGCACCAAGATTATATGATATAAGGAAATATAAACTTATGGTGAGATGCATGCATGATATGTAATGTGAAATGAACTTTATGAAGTGTTAGGCACATCTTATTATTATTACTTTGTATTCATTTTTCCAACCTTTGACCCCTTAAGAAGACAAGCGCTCCAAGATCTGGTGAGGGTTAAAGTCAACTTCCGTTCAACATGCAAGGAAACCCCTTTCTTCTTCTTGTATTTATGACTATGTTGTTCAAAGTTCTCATTCATCAATGGGTTATTGCCTTTATTAGGGTCGGTTAATGACCAATCATATTTCTTGTGACCTTTAAGTCCATTCATTGTAATAGAAATACTTTTTGATGTTATTACATGTTTTACTTTCAGCATATCATATAGCGAAACACCTTCAAAGAATCAATGATTATGGGGAATATGGGATTTTATCATTTCAAGTAAAGGGTTACAGTTACTAGAAAGTCTAATGGATACAAAAAGGGAAGTAGCAAGATCATGAGATACTAAAGTAGGGAAATACAAACAAGCCAAAAGTTTCTTTTTCTTGCTCTCTGGGTGATAACGCCAACTTCTCATGTCTTCATCTTTGATAATCCTATCAAACGAACTTTGAGGATGTTAGATGCTTTGTTGAACCTCTTCCCCTTGTTTGAAGGTTTGCAGCTTTTTCAATATTTTGGTACATTGACTCTTCAATTTGTTCAAGTTTCAACGGTTGTACCCATCTTTCTTTAAGATTCCTTTTCTATTTTGATTTTTTTTGTTGTTGACCCTAACTTTTGCCTAGACCGCCCTTTAAGGTTTTCAGCCTAGCGGGTCGCTCTAACTTTTTCCTAGGCCACCTGTTAAGGTTTTCAGCCTAGCGAGCCTTTTCTTTTTATTTATCTCCTTTTTAGGCAAAATATTTCTTGACTGCATCAGAATTTACAGGAAGCGATAAATCCTCTCCATCCATATTGGTAAGGATTAAAGCTCCTCCTGAAAATGCCTTTTTCACCACATAAGGTCCTTCATAATTTGGAGTCCATTTCTCTCTGTGATCTTTTTGGTTTGGTAGGATCTTCTTGAGCACCAAATCTCCTTCTTGAATTTCTCGAGGATGAACTTTCTTATCATAAGCTCTTTTCACCCTTCTCTGATATAATTGACCATGACATAAGGCATTTAGCCTTTTTTCTTCAATGAGATTTAATTGATCATAACGAATTTGTACCCATTCAGCTTCCTCAAGTTTGACATCGGCCAATACCCTTAAGGAGGGTATTTCTACCTCAATTGGGAGCTCAACCTCCATGCCATACACGAGAGAATATGGGGTTTCCCCAGTAGAGGTACGAACAGAAGTGCGATAGCCATGCAAGGAAAAAGCCAGCATATCATGCCAATCTTTGTAAGTTACCACCATTTTTTGAACAATTTTATTGATATTTTTATTTGCTACTTCTACTGCCCCATTCATCTTAGGGCGATATGGTGAAGAATTATGGTGTTGAATTTTGAAATTATCACACAACTCTTTCATCATTTTATTGTTCAAATTGGTTCCATTATCCGTAATGATGTGGCTTGGTAGACCATATCGACAAATTAAATCTCTTTTGATGAATCTAACTACCACATTTCTTGTCACGCTGGCATAAGAAGCTGCTTCGACCCATTTAGTGAAGTAGTCAATAGTTACGAGGATGAAACGATGCCCATTTGATGCCTTTGGTTTAATTGGGCCAATCACATCCATTCCCCACATTGAAAATGGCCATGGTGCAGCCAAAACATTCAAGGGTGTTGGTGGTGCATGGATATTGTCAGCGTATGTTTGACATTTGTGGCATTTCCTCACCTAGCTACAACAATCAGATTCCATGGTCAACCAATAATAACCAGACCTTAAAATTTTTCTTGCCATTGCATGCCCATTCATGTGTGTTCCGAATGAGCCTTCATGAACTTCTTCCACTATTTTCTTGGCTTCAATAGCATCAACGCATCTGAGCAATACCATGTCATGGTTTCTCTTATAAAGCACATCACCATTTAAGAAGAATCCCATTGCTAGTCTCCTCAATGTCTTTTTATCATTTTCTGAAGCATTAGGGGGATACTCTTTATCTTTTATGTAGCGCTTTATATCATAGAATCATGGTCTTCCATCTGGTTCCTCCTCTACTGCTTGGCAATATGCTGGTTGGTCTCGATTTTGTATTCTTATTAATGGCACTTCATTTCCTTGACTTATCTTAAACATTGAAGATAAAGTGGCCAAAGCGTCTACTAATTGGTTATCCTCACGGGGGATATGTTGGAAAGTGATTTCTTCAAATTGTTCCATCAACCCCTTAATGTATGAGTGATATGGGATTAACTTTGCATCTCGAGTCTCCCATTCACCTTTGAGCTGATGAACAACCAATGCTGAGTCTCCATATCCCTCCAACACGTTAGCCGTGAATTCTAGGGCTGCTACAATCCCCATCGCACACGCTTCATATTCTGCCACATTATTAGTGCAATCAAAACCCAACCTTGCAGTAAAAGGTATGAACTGATTTTTTGGAGAAATTAACACTGCCCCGATTCCATGCCCCAGTGCATTAGAAGCTCCATCAAACAACAATGTCCATTTTTCTTCGTTTATGGATTCTTCCTCATCAAATAATGTCATTATGTCTTCATCTGGAAATTCGCATTGCATTGATTGGTAATCTTCTATGGGTTGATGAGCCAGATATTCTGCTAATGCACTACCCTTGACAGCTTTCTGAGTGACATAAATAATATCATATTCTGACAACAACATTTGCCAACGAGCAATCCGACCAGTGAGAGCAGGCTTCTCGAATATGTATTTGATTGGATCCATTTTAGATACTAACCATGTAGTATGGCTTAACATGTATTGCCTCAATCGTCGAGCAACCCAAGCCAATGCACAACATGTTCGCTCTAATAAGGAGTACCTCATCTCACAATCTGTAAACTTCTTGCTCAAATAATAAATTGCTTGCTCTTTCTTCCCAGAAGCATCATGTTGCCCCAATACACAACCCATAGATTCATCAAGCACAGAAATATATAGTATAAGAGGTCTTCCTGGTATCGGTGGTACTATGATCGGCGGCTCTTGCAAGTATTGCTTAATCTTTTCAAAAGCCTTTTGACAATTTTCATTCCACACCATTGGTTGACTTTTGCGCAATAATTTGAAAATTGGGTTACAAGTAACAGTCAGTTGAGATATAAATCTGGCAGTGTAATTCAATCTCCCCAAGAACCCACGAACTTCTTTTTCTGTGCTAGGAGCTGGCATTTCTAGGATTGCTCGCACTTTGTCGGGATCTACTTCTATCCCTTTTTCACTAACCACGAATCCCAACAATTTGCCTGATCTTACTCCAAAAGTACACTTAGCAGGATTCAATCGGAGCTTATATTTTCTCAAGCGCTCAAACAATTTTTCTAGGATAGTGATGTGTTCTGCCCCTGTTCTCGACTTAGCAATCATATCATCAACATATACCTCTATTTCTTTGTGTATCATGTCGTGGAACAAAGTCACCATTGCTCGTTGATATGTTGCTCTAGTATTCTTCAACCCAAATGACATCACCTTGTAACAAAATGTTCCCCAGGATGTAATGAATGTGGTTTTTTCCATGTCTTCAGAAGCCATCTTAATTTGATTGTACCCTGAAAATCCATCCATAAAGGAGAAGAAAGCATGTTGGGCAGTGTTATCTACCAGAACGTCTATATGAGGTAGTGGAAAATCATCTTTAGGACTAGCCCTATTAAGGTCTCGGTAGTCCACACACATTCTGACTTTTCCATCTTTCTTTGGAACTGGTACTATATTGGCAACCCATTGAGGGTATTTGGCTACTGCAAGGAACCCTGCATCCAGTTGCTTCTTGACCTCTTCTTTGATCTTTAAGGAAACTTCTGGTTTCATGCGTCTCAACTTTTGCTTGATTGGTGGATACTCAAGTATTAATGGCAATCGATGCTCAACTATGTTGGAATCTAACCCAGGCA